CACACACACACACACACACACACACACACACAAAGGTTGACACAAACAGATTGCTTGTCCAACTCAAAACCCCCTGGAGTAGTTACAGTCACTGCTTATGTAATAGGGTTGAATGAGCAAAACAAAAACAAGCCATGGTATCATTAGTTCATAGTACAGAGGGCACCAAACACACACACAAACACACACATACACAGRCGGCTGAAACCAGACACACTGACTTCGAGGCACATCGTGGTGCTGTCTGACATGGGAAGGAAGCTGACACACACACACACATCTCCCAGCTGTGTCTCAGATATCAATCTCTGGACGCACCCTTTAAAAACACACAGAGCCGTAAACACAAGCCTCACACTGGTTTTTAAAGGAGCAAAATACATTAAGGCGTACTAAAAAAAAATGGAGCTAAAACCAGTTGAACTTAATCACGGAGCGGTTAGTTTTACCGGGGTGAGTAAACACATCTAAGCTGGGATCTTTGTGTACCCGTCAGAAGCTGTTCATCTGAAAACCCAAACACCCCCCGCCTGCCGCAGTAAGACAAACAGCCATGATGAGAGGGCGTGCAGGCAGTGGGAACGTCATAATTAACACTTGGCCTCAATCACGCATCCTGAATACATTTTCACTCTCCAGACTTACTCATTCCTTGTCAGTCTGGCTCTCTTCACCCCAATCATTTCCTCGCCGGGCCCATCGCTGTTGTCCCCCCCCTCCGTTCTCTCGCACACATGTGCACCTATCGAGCCACCTCCACACAGACAGAATCTCACACAGCATGCTGAGCGGAACCACCCACACGCAAAGCAGCCAGCAGACACCTACATGTGTTCGTACACTGACACAATCTCTCACAGCCCCAGAATTTCTACCAGGATCTTATTAAAGCTATGGCAACCGAATCCGCCCCCCACACACACATCCAGCACCCTTCAATCTATCTTTGTGTGTTTGTGAGACAGATGCAATCTTCAGTGTAACATTGTCAGGGGTTCGCCGAGCTGGTGGCCTTGGAAACGGAGCTGAACGACAAATCTGGGTCACATTCGTTTGACACAAACAAGAGATATGTTTTTAAAGGTGGGAGGTGATAACGAGCGATAAGAGGAATGCTTAGTGGGATTTTATCCTGTAGGATGTCAGTTTTACCGCTTGTTTTTAAACCTTGACACACTTTGAAGCTTAAATGACTGAGGCGCTGCTTAAAGCGCTGCAGGGAGAATCAGCTGGTAACTTGTACATAAATCTTTCTGCCCCAAGGCCATTTGACCATTTTACCTCTACTACTACTGCTGCGCACACAAACACACGCTACAGCACCAAAACAAATAGACTCCAGCCTGGCCTGCTGAAGCGCACGTCACCCCCACCTCCGCCGCACTTTGCCCACTTTGAGAAAATTCCATTTCGGCACACACTCATCCCCATTAATCTCCTGGCTCCAGCCTCTCCCCATAAACCTTTAACCTTCAGTCCAGCTCCAAAGTTGCCTCGGAGCTCTCCATCATCCCACCAGAACCTCCCACATCCAGCCCGCCTCGTCTCCCCGGAGGAAGTCAATCCTGCTCCAATTAAACCAGCATTCTTCACATGCTTCCCAGTGATCCTCTTCTTCTCTGAATATATATACAGTATATATATATATTTGTTTACATAMCTGCTGGTGATGATGCAAAAAGCTGTGAATGTGTTAAAGGGAAAGACTAAAGGTTTAAAAAGCAGAAGCTTGGGATCGTTTTGCTTCGATTGTTTTGGATTTACTGGGAAGTTACCCTGGTTGCTAATCACTGTTTTTCACTTTAACACATGGGCGTTCATGCAGCCATATTACTATTCCATTCAAATTTTCCATCGTGTGTCTTGTTGCATAGTTCTGAAACTTCGTTTTGAACTTATACACTAAATTACTCAGGTCAATCTGGAACAGCGTGATGTGACTTTTGGTAGCAGCAAACCTGGACAAAATCCACAAGAAAGCTTGTAATCATAGAGATCAGTGGGGTTTTGGTAAAACATGTTTGGAGCTCTGAAGCTCAGCCACATGTCACAGCAGAATTATTCTTCAGAGTAAGCGGGTCACAATAAGTTGAACTTTACATGACTGAACTGATATTTTTAAATCTTTTATACTTTTTCCTACAGTTGCAGTTTAGCTTTCCTGATGYTTTCCGGATATTTCCAATGATTATTTAACTAACAGCTGATGATGTCACACTTATATTGGTACATATGCAAATTACACTTCCAAATGTAGACACACTTCACCCAGTGTGTCTCTCAATGCAGAGTGACGACTCGAGCTTCYTTGTTTTAGCTCAATATACTGTGTTTTCTAGAAAAATGGAGGTGAAGGATCTATTTTAATTTGTCATATTTCTTCATAAAACTGTAGAAACATAAAAATCAGTAAGTGTAACCCCCGGAGTCTCCTGTTAGCGTTCTCTGTTTCAGGTTCACTTTTCAGGCTGTGATTCTGTCTGCCTCTCATTACCCTGGCAATCAACACACAGGTGTGTGGTGACCATAATATGCMACAGGCTTTACCATTTATTTTAACCCCGGTTCTTTTTACACTTCACAACACTTTTTTTGATTGTTACAAAGAYATGTTGGAATTTTTGGCAGTAGCTTCCTCGGCATCCTTCATTTAGTTTAGTKTGCTATTCTCGATCCCCTCACCTGTTTTGAAGATCTCGTAGCGCAGGGAGAAACCCGCCCCCTGATGGGCGTAGTCCGATACGAATCTGATCTGAAGCGACGGTCCGGACGAGATGATCGGCGCCGGGGCGATGTTGCTGCAGTGTCGACCCAGAACATCGGCCGCTTCTGACATCCCATCGCGGATCTCAATGAAGTCATACCTGATCCACAAAAAAAAAATTTTACATCAGCACTCAAGGATAACGTTATTATTAAGAAGAACAGATGACCAGAAATAGTTAGAGGGGGTTCTGCAAAACATCTAATCTAATAAAAAAACAGACAACCAGGTGCAGACAGGGTTCAGTTTCAGGGCAAGAACAGGGTGTCCAAGCAAAGAACTTAGGAAAAACAACATAAAGACTAAAAAAAAAAAAAAAAAAAAAAAAAAAAAAAAATCTGCCACAGACTGGTGTTGTTTCCCCTCAGATGCTTTCAATAAATGTAGCTTTTCTGACCCAGTTTTGCTTTGGGACGGCACACTCAGATCTCTTTGATGACAGCTCAGGGCGAACAATCCCCAAACCGCTGAATATTGGATCACAGGAAACGAAAACGGAGGGAGGGCTGGATTTCAAACAGAACACATTTTAAGCGAGCGTCTGTCAATTATGAAACGCGTAAAGATGCGGACAAACAGACAGCTGGACGGATTCGTTAATTAGAGGTGCAAAAATAGGCAGCGAAGCTCATGAAAGAATGAAGAACTGAGCGCGGGGGGAGGAAAAAGTTGAGAACATCAGCAGCGCACGGGGTTTAGGTTGTGTTGGGAGAGGGGCGAGGGGGGCTTAGAGCATCCAACTGGGATAAATAAAGGTAAAGAAGCCTTTCTTATTAGCTTCCACATGCTTGTTCTCTCAGCTCATCGCTGACCTTTGACCGACTAACTGACCCTGAACGATAAAAGCAAATTCTTCACCGTCAGGTTGGTGTGTGTTTAAGCGTGTGCAAGGAAGGCAGACAAAAAGAGAGCGCACCTGGTTAATCCAGAATTAGCTCACATGTGTGTCGGTCCTGGCATTATTGAAAAAAAAAAACACAGAAGAAAAAAGCAACGTGGCTCATGCTTGATTGGAACAACTAAAAATAAAATGATTAAACAAAGTAAACAGTTTTGCTGACAATTTCTCTCTTGCTTCATGAGATGGGTTTAAGGAGGGTATAATTGAAGCTCTCAGGAATGTCTATAAAACCAGTTAACTTCTGATGTCAACATATTTGCCACAGATAATCAATGCAAACACAAAAACGATTATAACTAACAAATTTTTGCATATTTTGATTAAACATTTACTGTGGCAGTAGCTGACAGACATCTCCAACTCATTCTGTGAGAACGAAAAGCTACTATAAAACTTTTGTTTAAAACTTTGTTGAGAAAAGGAAGAGGAACTTAATATTTTTCGCTCAACATGTTACATGGCTGAACCTTTCTGTTTATGTTAAATACCAAGGGGTTTAAGATGGTGTGCAAACATTCAGGTGTGGTCATGATTAATGATTATAGCATCTTCTTTGCCAAATAAGATTTAAACTAAACAGTCCTTGAATGATTGGGTTTGTGYGTTTTAAGTTCTTAGTGAAATTCCAATGAATGTTTTGAAATGAAATGAAAGTAGATCAGACTAGAAATGAGAACTGATTTTATGTTTAGGACCATGCTTTTATGTGTTACTCCTAATAAGAGACTTGTGGCTTTGTTTATATTTAAAAACGGCTCATTGTGTGCTTGGAAAGAGCAGGTTTCAGGGTAATAATTGTAGGTWGGGGAAATATTAGAAGGTGTAGAAATCTCTAATTTTTGTTTTCACATAGCCTGGTGCTAAAGTAGTGTTTAAGTTCAGTCTTAAGAGTCTCCACTCTCCCATATCTCTACTCTTAAGCACCTCATCACTGATGCTGCATCCCTGAGTAATTTTCTTGTAGTTCTGATCCCCCTAATATCATCCTTATTTCTCTGTGCGAGCGTCTCTTCAGCCCACATGTTGTGTTTTCCGTTGTAGCTAACTGCAGCGCCGCAGGAGCCCTGCAGCTCTCGGAGTCCTCCCTACGAGCACCCCGACACGCAAACATGCTCATCTGAATTAGTTCGTGTGTCGGCGCTGTCAAATAACAGCGSAGTCGCTGTTGTCTCACTAATTAGCGTGATAGGCTGTGTGACGCCGACAAAGCATTTGAGATATTTATAGGTTTTTAAGGCACATTTGAACTCTTGCTAATCTGAACTAGAAAACAACTCATCTTGTTGCTGCTCTAAAAGAAAAAAAAAAACAGCAATCAGAAACGCTGAGACGCACCAATCAGCTCAAGCCTGTGGCTGTTTGAGTTTAAGCTCCAAGATGGCTTTTGTAGTGCCAGGTTGAAATAAAACCTGGATTAAGTAGAGTCTCTAAGCCTCTTTATTTAGCTATCTCATTCCTGCAGCGTATTGACTTCAGTACCAAACATTCAAGTTAAGACTACTGATCGAGGGATAATCCTACTGCATTAATCTGGGTCAGAGTAGCACATGCACAGGTGAGGATCGAAATGGCTAAATAAGCCTGTAATGTTACACTTATAATGTGCAAAAAATACTAATCTGAGAGGGGAAATCTAAAAAGGACAGGTTTACTCCATAAAAGTACAAAAATTTCAGAAAATCTCTGGGTTGAAATGAGCAAAATTAGGATTAACTGTGTTGGTCCTTTCCCTCTTAGTTATACCCTTTGGGTGWTCCAAACAAGGGGCAGGGGTGTCCCGATATCAGGGGATGGCAAGGTGGTAGGGCTATCTGGCCATTAAACAGAAAAGTTCCCTCCTATTTAGATTTTCTGTATTTTGTTAGTCACAACAAACAAAAGGTCTAATTTGATGTAAAAATACTTACTCAATAAGTTCATAACGCTACTTTTTTGGGGGTCACACAATGTAATWAGATGTATTCTGATGTATCATAAATAATATTGTAGTCAATCTTAATTAAAAAGCTTAAACAATAAAGACGTGTTTGTTGCAAACTCGAAAACTAGCTACAGAGAATATTGAAACTTGGAAAAAAAAACTGTTGTCTTGTCAGTTTATAAAAGGGATTCTGGACAATCGAACTATCATCTTCTTGAAGTGATGTCCCATTCCATAACATAATATTTCAGCTATTACAAATGTTGAGTTTAGAGCTAAGGGAAACTTTGGGTACTGTCAGAAATATGTGGAAGATTCTTGGCTTTACAGAAAATATCTCAAAGAAAGAATGACGTTACTAGAACACACTGACCCACACCAGGTTTCAAATCTGCCCACCTTTATCTTTACACATCGAAATACTGAATCAACTTGGGCTCAGGCTGCAATAAACATATTGGTTTTATTCATAACAAGACCTCAGCAAATCCTCGTGTTTTCGCATTTGAAGGTTGGGCCCGACTCGCTCTAATGCTGGTGAGTAAAGAAGCTGCTGTCCAATACTCTTATGCATGTCTTGCTTGTAATCCTGCATTACAGAGGCGATCGTAAAGGCTTTAGTGGCAGGCTCCCACAGTGAGTCTGTGAGAGCCACTGCTGTCCCTAAGTRTGCCTGCTTAAGGCAGAAACTGACACATGCTCAGGGAAAACAACATTCAGAAATGTGCCAAACAAACACAYGGAGATATAGGCAGGCGTGCACGCWCACACTCAGCCCCGTATCTCCAACACCAAGGATAAAAGGCCCGTGAAAGAGCTGAGAGCCTAATTAGGTTTTAATTGATTTTGGAGTGGGTCTTTATCCTTCTTTCTGTCTGCCTCTCTCCTGTCGTGGATTAGCGTCAGTGAGTGAGTGTTCCTCAGATGTGATTATTGACCTGTTCGCTCAGACTCTCCCCAGGCTCTGATGAATACATGTATGAGGGCCTGACGTGCGAGAGCCCCACTGTCTGCTTCTCTCCAGCGCACATTTGAACGCATTCCAGGACACTGCACATCAATCTCCTGAACGTGCGCACTTACGGACCCACGAAGACACACGTCGGAAGCCCCTGTATCCAGAATCGGACTTCATTAGACCCCACCCTTTCTGTCTGACACCATCCACTCGCCTTTCCCCAGCTTTCTGTCTACGTAGTCAGGGAGCCATAATAAGGCAGTCGTTTCACCCTCCCTCATTTCCCCATTAGGGAATAACTGCAGCAAAGGGAGAGGGGTTAAGGAAACTAAAAACCCTCAAGGGTCTGTAATCCTGCAGTGGTCCAGACATGTCTTCTCTTCTTCTGTGCTCATATATCACAGCGCCCCTGCGTCAAGGCGACTAATTGCCTTTCACACCTTTGCTGTTTGCAAGCAACCAGGGACATTTCCTGCAGCCAGCAGCACCTTACCAACACAAGTTCAGTATGTAGACACTGGATTCATCCACGCTGTTTAGTCTTCTCAACCCGTCTTTGTGAGCTTATGAGCACTGTTAGGTCATCATGTGTCCCATAAACACCAGTTGGTTTAGTCATCTTACTTTAGTGATGAGTAACAGCTGTACATGTTTTATATTGTACAGCTGTGCTCTTTGTTGACTTCTCGTTTCTTCTGAGATCAACAAATGAGTTCATTTTTAAATGATTTTCTGGAAAGGTATGAGGTCTTATTTATTCCTATCTAAATATCCACACAATGCATGAAGCMTTCCTTGAAGATTTTGAGAATTTAAGCAAAGGATTAGCTCAAATTTGTTCCGGGCCTATGATGATRGTTTGATTTATTTTGTTTATGCAGAAAATAAAGCAACAGCTGTTCTTGAATATCGGCAAGTCAAACTTGGCTGCATTCAGACACTTGGGGCTTTCAACTAAGATGATTTTCCTCTTTGCTGCATTGTCTCCCCCCCCTTGTTTTCCCCACTCTTGGAGCACAGAAACCCACAAAATCACAATCTGGTAAAGTGTCGCCTGTCGCTTCAGCATCTCCTTATTGGTGATTTACAGAAGCTGAAATTAAGTAAGGCAGAAAATGTGCAGCTGACATACACACACAGATATTCACATTTCGAAGCATACACCCAACTCCTCCCATCCTCAAAGGGGACTCTAATAAACCATAAGTGCCTCTGAAATATTAACTAGATGCTGCGAGCGAAATCCCAGCAGATCAGCAGGGCCTGCCATCTTCAATCTAGCCCCAAAACAAATAACACTTCTTCTTTTTTCATCTCCTC